GACTGGACACAAAGCAGACACAAAGGAGAAGAACTTGCAATTCTCAGGTTGGGCTCTGGTAGTGGTCAATGAATGGGGCCACTCTGTTCTCTTTGTATATCTGACACAGGATGAACAAGCTCAGTTATTTCCAAGAATAGTTCTCTGCTCAAGTTAAATAACAATAGTAGAACAACAACAGATCACAATATGTTGTTTTCAACAACAAATCACAATAATGTTGTTTTCTACAAGGCTCTCAGACTTCTCAGATTAAAAAAAAAAAATCAAAATTAAGCTTCCAAATCAAAAGCTAACCTGGAACCAGAGCAAAGGAGAGACCTGCAAATTCTTTGAGCAGGCCAACGCAGATACTGCTTACATGACATTTCCAGGTCCTCACACAAGGAATAACATGAAGTCACCTGATGTAAGACAGTCAGGTTATTAATTGCTCTGTCTCTCCTTCTTTCTGCTTCACAGGACGGTGACTGAAACTGCCAGTATTACTTTTTCATGCTAATTCATTACTTCTAGTTCTTTATAAAGGACTTCTCCATAGTTGAAAGCAAATGCTTCAGTCCCTCCCGCTGGCTTATTACATATATATTTTTTAAATTTTTAATTAATTATTATTATTTTTTTTACAATTTATTCACTTTGTATCCAAGCTATAGCTCCTTCCCTCATCCCCTCTTACTCTGGCTCTCCCTTCCTCTTTTCCTCCCATGTCTCTCCCTCTGTCCATTGATAGGGGAAGTCATCCTCCCCTTCCACCCGACCCCTAGACTATCAGGTCTCATCAGGATTGGCTGCATTGTCTTCCCCTGTGGCTTGGTAAGGCTATTCACCAACCCCCTGTCAGAGGGAGGTGATCAAAGAGCCAGCCACTGAGTTCATGTCAGAGATAGCACCTGTTCCTCTTACTAGCGTACCCACTTGGACACTGAGCTGCCATGGGCTACATCTGTGCAGGGGTTCTATGTTTTCTCCATGCATGGCCCTTGGTTGCAGTATCAGTCTCAGAAAATACCCCTGTACCCAGATTTTTTGGTTCTTTTGGTCCTTGTGGAGCTCCTCTCTTCTCCAGGTCTTTCTAGCTCCCTCTTCTTTCATAAGATCCCTGCACTGTGTCCAGAGTTTGGCTATGAGTCTCAGCATCTGCTTGATACCCTGCTGGGTAGAGACTTTCAGAGGCCCTCTGTGGTAGGCTTCTGTCCTGTTCCATTTTTACTCTCTCTTTTGATGTCTCTCCCCTTTGCATTTCTGAATGAGGATTGAGCATCTTACCCAGGGTCCTCCTTCCTTAGCTTCTTTAGGTGTACAGATTTTAGTATGTTTATCCTGTATTATATATCCAATTCCACTTATAAGTTATTATATACCATGTGTGTCTTTCCACTTCAGTGATACTTCACTCAAGATGATGTTTTCTACTTTCTTAGTCATCAGGGAAATGCAAATCAAAATGACCCTGATATTTCACCTTAAACCCAGAAAGATTAAGATCAAAAACTCAGGGGACAATACATGCTGGAGAGGATGAGGAAAAAGGGGAACCTTCCTCTATTGCTGGTGGGAATGTAAACTTATACAACCACTCTGGAAATCAATCTGGTGCTTTCTCAGAAAATTAGAAATAGTGCTACCTCAAGATCCAGCTATCCTACTCCTGAGCTTATATCCAAAGTATCCTTAACTATACAAGAAGGACATTTGCTCAACCATATTCATAGCAGCTTTATTCAGGATAGCCAGAATCTGTAAACAACCCAAATGTCCCTCAACTGAGGAATGGATACAGAAATTGTGGTACATTTACACAATGGAACACAACTAAGCAATTAAAAACAAGGAAATCATGAAATTTACATACTATATTTTATAATGAAATGTAAAATTTTAGAATTGGAAATAAAACTTATTTATGTCTTTAAATTGCAATTTTTGTCCTTGACAATACCAAACGAATATTCTACAATTCCATTGAACTCTGACAGCACATAGCAGCTGCCAGAGGTTTGGGGGCTCAGTAATGCAAAACTGCCACACTTAGATTCTGCCTACAATCTCATACCCTATGATTACTCATATTCTATCCTACTTGACTGTATGTTGGAGATTTTGTGTTATCTCTTCCCGTTTGGATAAATTCTTCAGAGCTGCTGGATTTTAGTGAGGAATAGAAGGAGAGAAGGATGGAGCTATGGGGAGGCATTGAATAATAGTCCTTTTGGACAATAATTTAAGAATGCTGCCAGCATTCCTCATGGTGGTATGTTTTAAAAAAGATTTTTATTCCACATCCCCAGGCAGAGCATGGTGTCTCCTTATAAAGATCTGCAAGGGGAGGAGGGGAGGGGCTTGTAGGGTCAGGAGGACTTTGTATATGGCCTGTCTCCAAGACCCAGGTAAGGGAACACAGCATACGTGATGCAGGCTATATGACAGGTATATAATAACCATGTGGATGGTTTATGTGTGAACCGTGTGGCTTGATAGTGGTCACGATGCCTTTGGCCCCACAAGGGGCCACGGGAGTCTAGGTTGTTCATGTCTTGCTTGTTGCAGCCCTTTCTGCTTAGAGCCTGATAACCTGGCAACCTATATTCTCTGACAAGGTTTGCAGATATAAGCAGAGGGCAAGTCTGAGGAAACCAGTTTATCACAAAGGATGACAGTAGAGGCAGATGAAGACATCTGAGGGAAATGTCATATGTGGTCTGGGCATAGAAGTCTGTCTTGGATTTGGTATGCATCATTATCTTCATTGACATTATCACCACCCAGAACACTCCTTCTACCCACCCTCAGCATGCAGCTAGCTGGTTTATTTGGTTTGTGTCCTTGTTTCAGTTCAAACAGTATGACCAGGATGACTGAGGCTTAAAACACTGTCTAGAGATTTAATGTAACCCCGTCTCATTCCATATCTTGGGGTACCACCGGAAGAGGAGGGTAATTAAGAGGGTGGGGAAATTAAGGGAAAGAGAAGAAGCCTAGCTCCACCTTCTTCTGCTTTCCTTAGAGAGCTTTGTGTGGACATTACTTTGAACTAAGATGTACAAAATTATTTACATAGACATGACTCTGTAAATACCATGCAAACAATCTGGTTTGCTCAGAGTACTCAGACTATTTACATTTATTCCTATCAACTCAATTTTCCTGTCTTTCCCTTTGATATGAATTCAACAAATACCTGTATTTCATGTAGAACCATTCCTCCACTCAATGTATTTAACTTTCATCATGCATTCCAAATTACTTCTGTTACAATGTCTATTCAATTGTTAAATTGTAAACTCAGAATCTCTCAGGTACACTGTAGGTACAGTAATTGTTTGGTATCAAATACAATTAGTCATAGTTTTGGGTTATATCTGACTTACCCTGGGAATTCCCTTTAAAGTTTGTCTTTGGTGGATCTTTAAATGCAAATGCTCAACAAAGTAAAGGGGGAAAAAAAACACAGACAGAAAATGTTGACACAAATTTTGTTTGGTTTGGTTTTTTGAGACAGTTTTTCTTTGTGTAGATTTGGCTCCTGGGCTTGCTTTGTAGACCAGCCTGACCTCAAACTCACAGAGATCCTCCTGACCCCGCCTCCCGTAGTGCTGGGATTACAGACGTGTTCCACCACACCCAGCTGACACACCAAATGTTAATGTATCCTTTATTTCTATTAACCCAACATACAGTTTTGAAACTTTGTGGCTATTTCGGAATTTCAATGAGCCTTTCACTCCATGCACACATGTGCACATGTGTACATTTGAGAGACACATATATGTGTGTATCAAACATGTGTAGCTCACAAATACATATTGAGAGTGCGACACAGGGTCTGTGTGTGTGTCAGATCTATACATCTCATAAATACGCACAGAAAGGGCAACACAGGACAAACACATACACAAACAGAGAGAGAGAGGGAGAGTAATCAAAGTTGGATATCACTTGTAGCCCAGGATGGCAATTAATTTGGAAAGTAGTCCTTCTGTTTCTACCTTCCTATGGCTGGATTTATAGGCATGAGCCACCACAGCTTGCTCAAAATTATTTGTTGTGGTTGTTTTGGTTTGGTTTGATTTTGAGACAAGAGTCTTATAAAGCCCAAACTTTGATTATATTTCATTGTGAATACATAATATTGTAAGAAATTTCCAAAGTATTAACAAAGTTAATTTTTAAAAGAATGTAAGTATATGTTTCTGAAGATTATGTTGACAGTGTGCTAAATGGTTGAAAATGTTCTTGAACTTGTTATTCTTCTGCCTCTATTCCCTGAGTGCCCATTTTTGTAATCATGGGAATGGAATCCAGAGCTTTTTGCACTCAAAGCAAGAAATGTACCAAATGAGCATCATCTCCATCCCATTTATTTTCTTTAATCATAAAAGATTAGTTTTTAAATTTTAGCATGTAAAATGGCTATTTTGATGTTTTTTTCCTAATAAACTGTTGGACATGATTTTTTCAAAACTTTTGTATCAGTTGATACAATCATACTAACCGTGATTACGGCAGTGTGCACACGACCAATCGTAACTTAAACCAGAAAAAAAATCACAGCATAGAAGGAGGGATGTGGGCAAGAAACCCTGCACTAGCTGAGGACAGAGCTATTGGTAAGTAGCTGCTGGAGGAAACAAGGAAGCTTTCTTTAATTATGTAATCACTGGTATGTCCAACACAGGATGGGCAGGCCTCACTACTAAAACTAGCTGTGCCAGGCAGGGAAACAAAAAGGAAAAAGATCTAAATATTGAATAGGAAGGGATGGAAAGGTGGAATGAGCGATAGTGGGAGGTGCTGTTTGGAGAGGTGTATGATTCTAAGTTATATTGTATGAAATTCTCACACAATAACCAGAGCTAATTCTCAAAAGAATGAAAGTATCCATTTCAGAAGACTATGTTGACAGTTGAGATTTCTCCCATATTTGATATAAATACTGAAGTCCCTTTGTTACTCGTCTCCCTAAGATAACCTTCCCTTTTTGCTTTCTGTTCTTTTAGGTAACTTTTAAAGCTTCCAGACACTCAGTTTCCCCAGATTTGAAGTACGTTCTTCTGGCGTATGACGTCAAGCAGGTAAAGGAGCTTTTGCTCTTTCTTGGAAATCTTTGTCTGTGGACACTAAGAAGGCAATTTATATTGACATTGAGAACTGCTTGGGACGTTGAGTGTGACTTTGGTAGAGTGATGGTTAAAGGCAAGATAGTTGACTAGCAAATAACTGTTAGGGAACGGGCACATGTGTTCGGTTTTAGCTAATGTGACAGAGGCATGCTTATTTTCAGCGCCAATCCGCCAGCATCCTTCTGTGGTTCGGGTTTATGTAGGTTAGAGGCTTTCCTACTAGATATGTTTTGGACAGCAGGATGTATACAAGGAGAACATTGTTTCAAAGAATGGACAGTATATGCTTTGGCAGGATGTTTAAAGTTTTCATTACACTGTGTGTGTGTGTGTGTGCGCGCGCGCGCTCAGGCATCAGTGTTTTAAAGAATAACTGAAGGTCAGAGGACAACTTAGGGAGTTGATTCTCTCCACCATCTGTGTGCTAGAGTTTGAACAGTCTTAGTGGAAGTGTCATTATACACTGAGCCATCTTGGCATGCCAAGATTAGTTTTGTTTTGCTTAACTAATCAATGAAACTAATTAATTAATTAATGTTATTGATATTCTGTGGAATCTGTGAATTATCTGCTTGTACAAGCTGAAGTGGTACCTTCACATACTGAGCCATTTTCCCAGCTGATGTAATTTAAAATATCTGTAGGGTGTGTGTGTGCTCACGCATGCACACATAAGCGTGCATGTGTCTGTGTATGCACACTTGCATCCCAGCGAGCACCTATGTAGACATTTGAATAAAAGCAGTTATGCCTATGCCAGGGAACACATAGAAATCAGGAACAACCTGTGTTCCTCTTCAGTTGCCACCTTCTTTGAGACAGGATCTTTTTGCTATTTTTCTGTTTCTATGCACTAGGCTGTGAGCTCCTGTGGATTCTCCTGTCTTCTCCTCTGACTTCCCCTTAGAATTAGTGGAATCACAGACCTTCTATTATGTGTCTGGCTTTTGCTGGGGTTCTGAGGATTCAAACTCAGGCTTTCGCAGACAGTGCTTTTATCGATTGAGGGGTCTACCCCGCACTGTTGATGGCATTTGAATATCAGCTACATAGTCTCAGAAAATATCCTAAGTAGGATGACAAAAGAATCAACATTAAGCAAACACAATAACCTTTTCTCAGTCACTGCTTCATTACTTTACTCCAGCATTAGAGTAAAATTAGAGCATACATATGGCAAGTGATTATTTTCTACATAAATATATTTTGCATGGTTAAAAAACAAAGTAAGTGTTAAAAGACAATTCGATTACATAACTTCTGTAGAGAAGAAATGACAGGAGATTATTCAAGGAAGTTTTATGAGCTTTAGGACAGACAATAAAAATTTATGGAGTTAAGGCAGGAAACCTCATATAACGCATCAAAAGCTTTTGAACACATGACATTTCACAGCTCAGAAGACCTGCTGTTTAATGTGTTAGCCTTTTGGAGTGTACACCTGATGTGTATCTTTAATAATTTTACTGAAATCTAATTTATTCTGAAAACGATGGTGAAACTGCCATTACAGGCTTATTTCCCTATTAAGCATCTTTGTGTTTTGGATTGGATGGTGCTCCCATATTTTCTTCATTTGCAGATTTTGTAAGATACATGTTACAGTGAGAAAAAAAATATTTCTTTTATATGTGAAAATTATAAAAATACACTATAAGTTTACAAAATAATGCTATCTAGGAGACTTTAAATTTGACCTGACATATAAAATTGATAATGAAAATTTTATTTTTTGATTATATGTTTGTAATATAATATATATTATATATATGTATATATATTATATATATCCCTCTGTGTGTGTGTGTGTGTGTGTGTGTGTGTGTGTGTGTGTGTGTGTGT